GGGTGGGGCGGAGCAAGCCCTAGGTGGCGGCAGCGGCGGCGGGCAGGCACTCGCAGGCGGTATCGAGCAGCCGGCCGCTGCCGCAGCTCCCGTCGTTGGCGATGGCCCTGTGCTGTTCGCGGGCGGCGGCGCCGCTTTGGGGCCCGCGGCACCTCAGCAGCAGCCGGTGGCAGAAGAGTGGCGGCTCAAGGGCGCTGCCAAGTCGATGGTTGCGGCCATGGCCAGGCTGGGAACGGACGGGCAGGGCCCGCTGGCCGGGGAGCCGGCGGACGCTCTGCAAGGATGGGTGAGCGGCAGCGGCGTAGAGCAAGTCATCCTGTGCCGCAGCCGTGAAGAAGCGCACAACACTGCGGCTGCTGCGGACAACAATCTGGCGGTGCGGTTTGTGACGCGCGCAGACCTGGGCACTTTGTCAGTCAAGGAGGAGCACGACTGGCGCACCGGCGCGCAGGGCCTCACCACAATCAGTGTGCCTGACGCGTCAGGTAGCTGGTGGCTGTATCCCTTCAGGATCACCCTGCCAAAGGTGAGGCGATGCAGGGCTAGAAGCCTAAGCAGCCATTCATGAGCAACAGTTCAGGGTCTGACTTGGCGAGGCAGGTGGATTTTGCTGCCCTTCGTAGCACTCTTTTCACTGAGGTCCCCGCTGGCGCCATGTTTCCCCATCTATCCTGACACTCCCAAATCCAACTCCACACGGCCCCCATTCGTACCTCTCCACACAACGCGGCCCTCCAGGGCGGCGGCTCTGTGCGTGTGGTGGCGGGCTCAGCGCAGCTGGCTGCCCAGCTGGCGTTCCTGAGGATGCTGGAGGCGGCGGTCGGGGTGGAGGAGTTGAAGACGACAGCTATCGCGCACTACTACGTCACCGGGCCCAACATGCCTACGGCGAGCGCCGCGGTTGCCTCCCAGCTTGGCCACTGTGAGTAGATTTGCTGAAGAACTCCAGGGTGCACTTGAACAGGGAAAACACCTACCAATACAATGCAGCAGCATCTCGCAGCTGTTGTACATTCGATCATGCAGCAAGGATTATTGAGCCCCACCAACGGGGTGTGTCCATCACTCCCCACCTTCTTCCTGTTTGCAGGGCAACAGGCTGGCTGAGGGAATTTTGAGGTACAGAGGACTGACAGCCGCCCAGATCTTTGAGCGCTCTATCCAGGCAGGTTACTGTGGCGATGAGTTGTGGTGGGGTGGTCCCAGCTCAGTGCGCTCCAGCGCTCCATCCAGTCATGCGGCCTGGTGAAAAAACAATTATCAGCCCAACTGGGATGAGCACGCATTCTTGCGCATGCCTTCAGGCACACTCCTGTAATTCGTGGTGTGTAGGCGCTCCCTGCTGAGACTGGGCTGGCCATGAGGACAGAAATTTGGGGGTGATTATTTTGAGCATTCACAAAAAGTGAACCAAGATCGTTCACGTTTGAAACCTGATTAGAAGCAAGCAAAACTAGCAGCAGGATTGGAGCAGCCACAGCAACGCCGGCACCATAGCCCTGGCCAGCAGCAGCAGCAGCAGCAGCAGCAGCAGCAGCAGCAGCAGCAGCAGCAGCAGCAGCAGCAGCAGCCGGCTGGACGACAGGCTGTGCCACACGTGGCTCCAGAATAATTTATCTCACAGAGACTACCAATTTACTTGTGCTGTGTCCTGCAGCAGCAGCGCTCCGACGATGCGCATCGTCGCTGCTGCTGCACACTTTGGGTGCGGTCAAACCCGGGTCCACTCGCCCCACCAAGGTTCATGATCTATGTCTGAGCCGTACTTGGCGCGCTCGCAGGCCCTGCAGCGGTCTATATTGTCCAATCGGACCGACCCAGCGACCGGCCTTCGCAGTTTCCGCAGCTTCGCACAGCTTTCGCCTTGCTGTTTTCCGCTCGATCGGCCTCAAATAGAGCCCTCACGCCGCATACTTCATTCGTTGCTCAAAGCAACTTTAATCATTTCTCCCCCGCAGCCGCAGGCAAGACTACAACCAGTACGCAGAGTACTCAGCACCTCTTTGCAACCCTAGGTGAAGGCCCTCAAGCTGTACGTCAAGCCTCCACGCGGCATCCGATCGCCAAGCTGTTCGGCTTTGCCCGTGAGCCTTATCACGGGCACAAATCCCCCTCTGGATTGATTGTCCCCAAGCTTCGGCTGGGTCAATGAGGATCCCGTACGCTGTGCGGGCAGGTACGTTGCCGCAGGGCGTCTCAAGCTGGATGGACCTGACTACGGGGCGGCGGCGTTCAAAGCGCCTACCCGCTCTGACTGGGTTGCATTGTCACATGCATGGCCAGCCCTTGGGTCTTGCATGGGCAGCAGCAGCAGCAGCAGCAGCAGCAGCAGCAGCAGCAGCAGCACAACCTGGGATGCGTGCATGCCTTTGCAGCTGGACAGTGCCCCTTCTGGCGCTGCCCAGCCCCATCACAGCCAACTCAGCACCACACACAGCGAGCCACCACTCAGTCTCCTGACTGGATGTCACTGCGTAACACAGAGCAAAACTACAGTTTGCGCAGTTGTGAAAGCATTTGAGGGTCTCTGTCGCAGCCCAAAGGCATGGTGGCTCACATCACCAAGCTTCACATTATAAAGACAAGGCTGAGCAAAGCATAAACAATACAATACACAAATAATACAATGCGTGACCAGCCCATGAGGGGGCCTCCACCAAATGCAAATCACCACCCATCAGCACAAAGTTAAGTCCTCACAGATAGCAAGCCTGCTGGCCAGCGCGTACCGTCCTCTGCCTCTGCTGCCCGTAGCTGCCCTCCAGCTGCCCAGTCCTCCAGTGCCAACATGGAAAGGTCCAGGCCCGGCTGCACCAAACTGCCATCTTCCTCAGCATCTTCACCCTCGCTGCTGCTGTCACTACCGCCACCTGGCAACTCAATCGGCCCGTCGGTCCCTGCCGCTGCGCCAGGGCTGCCGCTGTCGCCGTCGCCGCCGCTGCCGCCGCTGCCGGCACTGAGTGCCGCAATCACGCGCGCCTGCAGCAGCACATCCCCCGGCAGCCGCGCCGGGCACTGTGACAGCAGCGTCCCGCGCGGTGCCAGCAGAAGCAGTTGCCGCCGCCCCTGCTGTCCACAGCCGGCCCACGCACCAGGTATGAGCCGCCGCTCGCCCGTCCCGCTGTCGTCAACTGCTGGCAACCGCACCCTTGCAAAGGGGCCCAACCGCCCGCCACCAATGCCGAGACGGCTGCTGCTGCGAACCTCATCAAGCCACGCACCCGCGGCCGCCTCCGCCGCCGCCCAATCTGCGTTGCCCCCGCCGCCCCCACCGCCGCCGCCACCGCCCGCCAACGGACGCGCGAGCTCCTTCAAGCACACGTCACGCCACGCGCCGTCGACGCGCCGCGTCAGGTCAGCTGGCAAGATCTCCTCTGCCAAATCATAGCCATCCTGCCCCATCACACAGCGCGCCTGCGCCACCGCCGCCAGCTGCTCCTTGCCCAGAGCGCTCCACCGGCACTGCCCTAACCGCACCAGCAGCCACCCCAGGCGGGGCGCCGTCAGTGCCCCCAGCGCAGCGAGCGCCCACAGGCAGCGCACGACCTGCTGCGCCCGCAGCCCGGCGTCTTCTGTCAGGGCCACGCCGTCGGCGGCGGCGGCCAGCAGCCGTGGCGGCGGCGCGTGGCCGAGGCGGGCGCAGGAGAAGAGGAGGGATGCGAGGGCTGCTGGGGCAGGAGAGGGCGGCAGCTGGCGCTCTGCCTGGAGCAGCAGAGCCTCCATGACCTGGGGGGGGGGGGTGCCAAGAGGCATCACAACCACAATCAGATTTGTGCAGGGTACAGGGGTAGGCAATTTCAAGGTCCTCGCACAAAAAAAAAAATCGTGTGGCCGTGTGTGCCTCTGGCGGTTGTGGATGCATACCGCTCGGGCATTTTGTGCATGCCACATTCGCAACTGAGCCAAAGCCCAACCATACCAACCCTCACATCACCACCCTGCATTTTGCACAGACTTTCAGCACCCACTGCCCGCAAACAGAAACCCAGGGCACTATATTCATAGAGCATAAGGCTAGAATGTTTGTTAGTATGCGCCCACCTGCTCCCCAGGATGGAAGCTGCATATTGCCAGGGCCTCCAGCAGCGCCAAGGCCTCCCCACAGGTCGTGCGCCCCTCAATCTGCGGCAGCAGCGCCGCCGCCAGCGCCCGCAGCTGCGAGGGCGGCGGCAGGAAGCCGAGCCGCAGCTGCGCGTGCAGCAGGCGGCCGGCGGCGGCGGCGGTCCAGTGGGTGTGGGGCGCGAGGTGCTGGAAGTCGGAGGGGCGCTCGTGCATGAGCTCGTGGGAGGAGGCGACCCCTTTGCAGACCTGCGTGTGTATTAGAAGTCCAAGAGGCAGTCGCACAAAAGTGTTTTGTTCAGCACCAAGACGGGGTGCCCCTGAGTTGATTGGCGTATGGCATGGATGAGCCGTTCGCAAATCGAGTCTCTGCCGGCCCCTTGAGACCGTTCAGTGCGATGGTGCTGCAGGCTTAGGCAACCAGCCGCTCCCCACGGACTTTCTCAGCAACGTCACGCGCGCAGCAGTTGTCGTAACTCATGCATCAAATTGGAACCCGCCTCGCCTGCTGTGTCACTGCGCGGATGAGCTCAGGCACTGCGACGCTGGTGTGGCGCAGGTCTGCAAATGCCGCCACAAGCCCGGACAGATCGGCAGGGCGGCTGCGGGTGGGATGGGAAGGAAGGAGCGCGGGCGCATTGTAATGAGGTTGCGTGACGCGCTCAATGATGCTCGGTGAAGAGGGCAAGACCTCCTGATGCGATAGCACAGGCAGTACAAACCCCCAGCTGGGACCGCAAGCTGGCTTCTGAAGGCGTGGTGGCAGTTTAGAGCCCAGAATCTTGCCAAATACCCCTTGCATCATCCTGTTGACACCTGCCACCATGGACCCCTTGACTGCCCACCACCCCCCTGCAGCCCAGCAGCCCCACCTGACCGCGTTGAGGTGCTGCTTTCTAACGCGCTGCACCACGTACGACGCCACTGCATCCAGCATGCGCGGCGCGTTGCCGTCGCCGTAGCCGGCGCGCGCGTAGGCGTTGACCAGTTTGACCAGGTCAGAGGGCCGGAAGCCGGCGCTGCCGCTGTGGCGGTTGGATAGCTGGCGGTACACCTGGCGGGCGGGGCGGCGCGTCACGATGACGAGGAGAGGCGCACGTGTCGGGGCAGACAGCGTTTGCGCGTTTGGGAGTAACAAGCCTTGGGTGTTTGCATCGGGAGAAGAGTTAAAGTGGCAGAGTTGTGGGAAGTTATTTACAAACACAAAGTGTATGGCTTTTCAAACACAAAGTGCCGACGGACAACAACGGGGTCAAGGCCACAACACACCCAGCGCCGCAACAACATCATACTCGCAACCCCGTCGCCAGAGCAGCGCCCGGCGCCCTCCCGCGGCGCACCTCGTGCGCGACCGCGTCCAGGAGCTTGGCGGAAGCTGCCGAGCGCCTGCCTGCAGCCGCCACGCCGTCCGCCAGGTCAGTCAGGTCCTCAGCCGCAGCCGGGGCCACTGCCGGGGAGGTCGAGGGTCACACTCAGATTCAACTTGCTTGCTTTTGCTTCCAATATTCGTGGGGTTGATGAGCCAACGAACAGGTGTAGGTTATGGAAGGCAAGCAGCGGGTGGAAAGGTCCTCGAGCCAATGAAAACAGTGCCTGTTGGCTGTTGGGATGAGCCGCAGTGCTGCGGCGATGCGCGCCCCAAGCGTTAGGGGTGCATGCTGCGTCAGCGCAGGTGCACCAGCCTACATCGACATGGCTGGCAAGGGATGCTCGGCATACTGCGTGCGACACTCACCAGCTGTTGAGGCATCGATGTCATCAGCTACGACGCGGCACAGCTCGTCCATCGCCGCCGCTGCGATGGCAGGGGCCGCGCCAAGGCAGGTGCCGAGCAGCCGGCCAAAGCCCCACACCATGGATACCCCGTCGGTGCCTGCGAGCGGCTTGGCCGCCTTGGCACCGAATTTTCTGCCATTGCCATCGCTGCTGCTGCCACTGCTGGTTGGGGCCTGGACCAGTCCAAGCACCCAGTGCGACACCGCCTCCAGAAATTCCGGCCGCGCAAACCCGCTGGGCCTGAATCCACCGCCCCGGCCCTCGACGCCGGCAGCACAGCCGTCCGAGGTCGCGTCAGCGCCGCTGGTGACGCCTTGGCTGGCGGCTGCCTCCGCCCACCAGCTGCCTTCAAACTCTGCCAGGCACCACACCACGCTCGCCACCTCGCCTGCTGCAGCGGGCGGCGGCGCGCCCCCGGCGGCGGCGCCGCCGCCCGGCTGCTGCTGCAGGCGCGCCGCCGCCGCGAGCTGGAGCTGCTGAAGGGCTGACAGCAGTTGCGGCTCGACCACTGTTGCAAATCCAGAGGCGCCGCCTGACTCGTAGAAATCGCACAGCCTATGTGCATGCGTGCACGTATGTAAATGTGTGTGTGTGTGTGTGTGTGTGTTGTATGTGTGTGCGTGTGCGCACGCGTGCGCGCGCACGCGCGCGCGCGCGCGTGTGTGTGTAGTGTGTGTGTGTGTGTGCGCGCGCGCGCATGGGTCGGGGCCGGGGAAGGCAGGAGAGGCCTGTCTACAGTTTGCTAGCTGTGTGCGCAGGGAGGCAAGCGTGTGAGGCACAAGCCAAACGTGTTGCAGCCCTTCGCTAAAGGAAGGACAGTGTAATGCATGGGGAACCCCCTCCCACAACTCGAACAATCTGAAAACCGCGAGCACGGGTTTGGGCATGGGGCCTGGGCGCGCAGCAAACGTCTCACCTCAGGAGCAACCGGCGCACGTCCCCCAGCGACAGCCGCGGCCCCTCCTCAAGTGCCAGTTCCAGCAGCTCAAGCGGGCTGTCCGCCTCTCGCACGCGCCGCGACAGCGCCGCTGCCACAGCCGGCCCGTCCGCATCCGCCGATGCTGACGCGGCAGCGCCGGGCCCGGCCGACGCCGCAGCGGCTGCGCTGGTTGCGGGTAGTAGCGGCTCGGCGGCGGCGGCTGCGCCGATTGGGCCCCAGTACCAAGCCGCCTCGTCACTCTGCATAAAGAGAAGCAGTGGTGGTGTTTCGAGGGTGGGTATCCCGCGCACGAGGCCTCGCATGCCCATGGCGGTTGCTTGACGACCGCTGCTGCGCTGTTCCTGTCGGGCGATTGCGAGGTCGCGCGCACAGAGCCCAGCTGCCGATTACGGCAGGGCCTCAACGAGCAGTCGCAGAGGATCGATTTGGTGCCGATTGCATCTGCCAACCAGCCAGTCCTTGGCACTGCCCCAGCTGCGCAGCTCACGTGCAGCACCACAAGCCGCCGAGAGCTGCCACTGTTCGCGACGTCCACACGGCGCGCGCCTGGGCGCCTGCGGCGCTTTGGGTGCCATTCGCTGCATGACGCGACGCTGCGGCGGCTCCAGGCGCTGCATGGGGTACAAGGGCTGTGCCCTCTGCAGTCATGTGCGTTACTGCGGCGTGCAGCACGCCGCTGCAGTACCGGGGAGCTCAGCATCCGATAGAGCGCAGCGTAGGTTGAGACATACGCACACGTACTGCTTTTTTCTTTCTGCGAGTGCAATGTTGAAGGCGCGCAGGGTGAGAATGTGAATTCCGAGTGACGATCTACGAGGTTTCAAGTTTCAAGAAGCGTGGGTGTGCACAAGTGTTTTTTAAAGCCTGTGACAATCACTGGGGTCGCAGCGAACGCAGTTTTGTGCATGCTGTGACCGCTGTGGGCGCCGCTGCGCATGCTGCGGGTGACATGGCCGTCTACAGCAAGCCACATGGTGTGTGGCTGTCTAAACGAACTGCACATTACGTTTCAGGGCATGCATGACCTCATGTGAGCAAATTCAACAATCTTTCATCACGGTCGGTGGAACAAGAAAGGACTGGGAAACCGCCACAACCGTTTTGTCTCAACACCCTCCAATCAAGTGTGCTCTAGTGCAAGACTGCTGGCCCATATATTTTGTGAACGGATCCAACAATGCACGCATGGGCCAGCCGCTGCCAGTACCCAGCGCCTTCAGGTGTGCTGCTGCCAGACTTACTGGGCTCGTGCCCAGCGCAGCAACGGCCAGAGCAGGGACCACTAGCCCTAGGCGGGGTGAGCGACAAAACCGAGCAAGATGCAGGACTTGCTGGCACTTGCTAATGACCCGCTGCAAGGGAATGCTTGCACACCTGCTCTGCAGCTGCGCGCCAGGGGGGGATGTACCGTCGGTGCGGTTGCAATGCAAGCAGTGCACTATTACAGCAATTTTCACCTTAATGCACCCACAAGTGCGAGAAGATACCCGGGTGAGTAAAAGTATCGTTGGAGTAGCCAGAGAGACTGAGAAGTGTGCAACCAACCAGCCGACGGATGTAATCTTGTACAACGATCTTTACCTGCCTGGGAGGTTGTTACCTACGACATGCAGCTGCAAAACACCGCCCGCCTGCTGTGCAAGCTGGGTCTGCCACTGCGCCACACTGCAGCAAATTTGCACTCGCCAGGCAGCCCTATCACTCGTTGCTGGTTGGGTGATGGTAGCGACAGGTCACCTTGTTGACTGGATGGGGCAACTCTTGATGTCCTTGGCCACCCTCTCCCAGGCAAGGTGCTGCTTGGTGACGCAGAGCAGTGTGCCTCATCTGGCGCTCATGCAAACCGGGGCGAAACAGCACCATCAATATCCGGGCACCAGGTGCAGCAGAGCACCGACCAATCCTGACCGACGCACTGCCGAAAGGATGTCAGGTCCGTTGCTGCCCCTACATTACCTCCTCTGCCCCGTGTAGATAACCGATTGAACACAATGACCGGCGCACGTAAAGACTAGACAACTCTGCAACGAAGCTAGACCACTGCATCGCTCTGACACAGCCTGCGCACGCGGTATCCAGAGTCGCAACGCGACAGGGCAGGGCTTGAAACGAAATGCTGGAGATGGAGATGGCGCCGCGGCGTGCTGGGGGAGGACAGGTTTCAACCAAGGACACGCTTGACGTCCAAGTGCGAGGCCGGTGCTTTGAGGCCGCTTGGATGGATTCTGTGCGAAGCAGCGCATTCCTTGGTGTCACACATGAGACGCGGCCTGAGTCGACACAGCGGGACCCGTCAACGCCTGAGGGCACGGCCTGCGCCAACACCATCACCATTGGGCTTGCGCCTCCGGGTGGCAGGTGCTGCACGGACTTGACAGCTTCCTGGCCACGGAGCGCTTTCTTTGCAAGCTTGAGCAGGCGCGGGCAGAGTGGATCGACCTGTCTGATGCGGCCCACGCAGCTGCGGGCTGCGCGCACGCCTCGGGCGCGGCGCCCCTGCCGCCGTCTGCTGCGCACGCACACGCGCACGCGCCGTTCGAGGCCAGCAGCAGCGCTGTGCTCGTTCACGAGGCGGACGCGCAGTCGTCGGCGGCGCAGCCAGCCGGCCACAGCGCCTGGGCGCAGCGCGGCGGCGCAGCGGCGGGCGACCATGCTGCAGGCGCGGAGCTTTCAGAATCCGAGCGAGCAGCGGCAGCGGCGGCCGCGGCGGCGGTCGGGGACTTTGTGGTGATCAATAAAGACGACGCGGTGGAGGCAATGGCGTATTACATAGCCATGTACATCAGCCGCCTGCCCGAGGCGCAGCGCATGGGGCCCAAGGAGCTGCAGTCAGCGCTCAAAGAGGCGTTCACGGTGAGCAAGCCGGCGAGGGCGCGTACGGCACTGCCGCCTGCCTGGGGCCTTGTCAGGCTGTGCGAGCCGTTTATGATATGAGATTGTGGCTGGTGACTCCGCTGTCCACTGCAGTGCCGCATCTTTGAAAGGTGCACCCCTCGTTTGCCAAGCATGCATTGCTGGCGTGCGTTGGCCTGCTGCAGAGGCGGCATGCTGCCCGCCGCCACGTCTTCTGACACCCCCACCTCAGCGTTGCTGCCTTGCTTTGAACTCTGCCCCAGATCCTCAAGCGGAGCAAGTGGCGCCTGGTGTGGAGCTGGGGCCGCCTGCTCTACCGCAGCGCCGCGGTCAGCTTCTCCGCGCTACAGCTGTACAACAACCCGTGGCTGCTGCGCGCCGTGCTGAGCGCGCTGTGGTCGTCGTCCCGCCTGCTGTACGCCCAGATGGTGTGACGTCACCACCACGTCACCCGCAGCGCCCAGCCGGCGCACGGTCACGCATGTGTGCTAGCCATGGCGCCCCACGAGCACGCGGCGCCCATGTGCGGCAGCCGAGCGTCCTTGAGTGCTTGGATGTCACGGCTGCAAGCGTCCACCTGCACTTGCGCCCCGTTGGTTCATGAAGCCTTAGTGCCCTGTTTTAAGGAGTGCCCGCCGAGAAGAGCCACCCACGCTTCCAAGCTCCTGCACGGCCGTCCATACAGCCCCACTGTACACGAGCTTTCTTGATGACGACCCCTTGCAGCGCACCGCGCAAATCGGGCGGTTGAGGCCCCAACTTGCGCGCCCCTGGCGTTCACAGGCATGTACCACCTATCTGAACCCTCAATCACTGTATACCACTGAGCTGCTGCAGCGGTTCAAAACAGATTTTGCTGCCTTCCCCAGCGTCGCCTGTGTGCTGGTCAGCGGCTCCCCGCTTACAGGCGACGCAGCGCGCACCCACCTCATGTTGGTCATAGAGCTTCTCACTACCAGGCCGCACGTCTCGTTTTCCCTTTGCGAGCCTGCTTCTGTCGTGCTTCAGCACCTGTAACAACAACTGATGCGGTTGAAGGCTATTTGGGACTTTCACGCGTGTGGCGACAGGTGACAGGGGGGACGGTGGCGCATGTCAGCTGGCAGGCGGCCTGTCTGTGACTAGTGGGTCGGCAACGGCTGACGAGCTGGCATGCCCCTGCTGGGGCATGTGAGGGGTGCGGGGCCTTTCGGCGCTGTTCGGGGGAGGCGGGCTGGTACAGCACTCGATGCACTTGAATAAGACGTGTGTGTTATAGCTTTGGCCAGCTATGGCAGGGATTAGGCAGGGCACGGCTTTGCTGGGCAGGCCTGTTGCCGGGCCGCTCTCTGTCAGAGGAAACGGGCAGAGTTTCACCCGACAGTGGTGCATGCGGCGCTCAATTGCAAGGAGGGTGCAAGCCGCGTTCAAGTACAAGGGAGGAATACGAGTTGTGTTTGTAGGTGGCAGACGCTCACGATAAATTCAGAATGCAGGCGCGTCTTCAAGATCTCGCAGGCTCCCCGAACTTGTTGCAGTCACGTGTGCACGGGCGACTTGTTAGCGGCACACGCAGAATGAAATCAGTGACAGCTTCCGGTGAGTGTCCATTGTCTGAGTGCAGCACATTCGCAGCAGCTGCAGACTCGCACGTCGCTCCCTGCGCTCTCTGCGCACCCCCGATGACCCGAGTGCCAAAGGCCATGACCGCGGCCCAGTTCGATTGCTGCCCTTTCCATGCGCACTCTGCAACGCTACCGCACCGCAGCGGCGGCAGCTGCGTATGGCGCCAGCGCGCCCTTGTCAACGGGCGCCTTCATCCTCCAGTGCGACGTCAGGGGCGCGGCGGCGGGGCCGCTGGAGGGGGTTACAGTTTGCGTCAAGGACAACTTTGATGTGAGAAAACGGCCATGCATATGCAATCGGATCTGTAAGATGTTATTGACATCCTGGGAGGTTTCTTGGCGGCATTGGCAGTCCAGATAGCCAGACTGCCCCACCCAGGGTGGTGGCATCCTGCCTGCAGCGTGTATCGTCGGTATGCCTCGTCGGCGCCCGGCGGTGGTGGAGTTCCCGCGGGCACGCGGCGGCGGGTGCAGCGGACAGGCGGTGGTGGCATGCCGCTCAGTCCATACATAAAGCCTCAGTGCAACACTGGGGGGTGAAGGATCAAGAACCACCTGTGAGAAAGGCCAGTTGAGCAATGAGCTTCAAACCAATGCGAATCTTGCTCGTCCCCCTCCTCGTCCGCCGCCACATGCCATGTTCCCTGCAGGTGAGAGGGCACCCCACCGGCAACGGCAGCCCTGCGTGGCTGTCCACCCACCCGGAGCCGGCGGCCGAGTCGGCGGCGGCGGTGCAGGCACTGCTGGACGCAGGGGCGCGGGTGGTAGGAAAGGTGTGCGCGCACAGCGGGGACGGGCGGGGGCGGCAGTGGTCGGTCGAGACGGGCGAGCCTCCACACGTAGCTGTCCCCGATGAAAGGTCTCAGCGACGACGCTCCCTTCCTTAGCTTGGCCCCTTTCACCCTCATCCCTACACCATCGCATCACCCCCCAAACCCTTTCACCTCCGGTGTTGCACCGAACCGGCCCCCCCAAAACCATATTTTTTCCATCCACTTTGACAAATAAAAGCCGAAACCCCAAACCTGTAAACCCCAAGGGCCACATGGATGAGCTGGCCTACGCCCTCAGCGGCGAGAACGCCCACTACGGCACGCCCCTCAACGCCGCGGCCCCGGGCCGCGTGCCTGGCGGCTCGACGTCCGGACCCGCGGTGAGTGAGGAGGGGGACAGGTGGGGGCGAGGGCGTTATCAGCCCGGAAGCTGTGCAGCCGCGGAGCCGCGGAGCCGAAGGGAGGTCCGCGAGCTTGGGGCTTGGCGTGTTGTGCGGGTGCGCAACAAAGTCAAGAGTCGCGGCGCGGCCGCAGGTGGGCAGCCGTGGGCCGCAGCACTGCGGCGCATGCGGTTGTCTTCCGCGGCTCTCTTCTCGAGGCGACACCTCAGCAGGCGGTCGCACCCTGTACTCCTGAACACCACATGTACCCTGCTCATACACTCCCCCGGCCCCCACCGCCCTCCGAAAGTCTGCGGTGGCCGCCGGCGAGGCGGACCTGGGTCTGGGCACCGACACCGGCGGCAGCGTGCGCGTGCCCGCGTCGTACTGCGGACTCTGGGGCCTCCGCACGTCCCACGGCCGCGTGCCGCTCCTCGGCGCGCGCGCGCTCGCCCCCAGCTTCTCCACCGCCGGCCTGCTGGCTCCCGGCGCGCCGCTGCTGCGCCGCGCCGGCGCCGCGCTGCTCGCGGGCGCAGCCGGCGGCGCCGCGCCGCTGCCCGGCTGCGGGGGCGGGGGCGGCGCGCAGCGGGCGCCGCGGCTGCTGGTCGCGTCGGACGCGTTTGGGCTGGCTCTGCCGGAGGCAGAGAGTGCCCTCAGGGCGGCCCTCACCGCCGCATCTGCGTCGGGCGCGCTGGAGGCACCTGAGGAGCTGGACGTTGGCGCCAGCTTGGAGGGGCTCACGGGTTTGGGCGCATGGTTTGACGTCTTCCGGATCGTGCAGGTGCGGCCGGGGCGGGCGCGGACCGCAGGACAGACACAAGGCCACCGCCTCGTTTGATTGGAGTGTTGAGCGACAAAGCGGCGCCTGCGAAGGGGGTCTATCGGGCGGCATGCTCTGCCGCGCTCTGTGTTGACATCAAACCGAGGCCCTATCTGACCCTCTGCCAAAAGCACAGGGCTGGGAGGCCTGGTCAAACTATGGCGGCTGGATGACGGAAAACGACCTTTCCCTGGGCCCGGGCGTGAGGGAGCGCTTCCAGCTGGCGGCGAAGATTAGTCAGGAGGAGCGGGACCAGGCGGCCGCACAGCGGGCAAGGTGGGCGATCAGTTGCCAACAGTGTGCGTCAGTCAAGACGGATGGGAGGGCGGGCGGGCAAGTGGAACGTTGGAATGATGGTGTCAGCACCTGTAGAGGTGATAACTGCATGTGTCAGTGTTGCATTACGGAGCAACAACGCAAAATCACCAAGATGTGTGCGCTTGCCCTCTTGTGGGCAATTCCAGGATCCGCGCCCACCTGCAGCAGCTGCTGGGCGCAGACGCCGTGCTGGCGCTGCCCTCGGCCCCCGGCCCCGCGCCGCCGCTCGGCCTGCCCGGCCCCGCCCTCAACGACTGGCGGAGCCGAGTGATGAGCCTCACGTGCATCGCCGGCCTGGGAGCGCTGCCGCAGGTGCGCACGCATGCATGAGCGTGTGCGCGCACGTGCGCAGCTGCCTGTCCTCTGAGCCCGCGTGTGTGCCTTTATGTAGTACCCGCGCGGACCAGCTGCCGCTGCCAGGGCCCCATGGCATCTTGGCCCAGCACCACGCTCTCAGTAGCCGGGTGCTCCACGCCGCACTCCCAGTCGCCTATCAAATTTAGCCACTCCCATCGTCACCTCTCCTACCCCAGCCTCAAAAGCTTGGGGTTTGAAATATCCCAGACCCACTGCATCCTTGCCGCTGCCGCGCCACCCCAACAGGTCAGCATGCCTGTGGCCAGGGTAGACGGCCTGCCAGTGGGCCTCAGCCTCATTGGGCCGCCTGGGTCTGACGAGTCATTGCTGGAGCTTGCCGAGAGGATCCAATCCGCCGCGCCTTGATATCGGAGGGGCTGCCACGTGTTTACCACTCAGAGGTGCTGTAGGTAGCAAGTAGTGTGGAGAAGGTAGCAAAGGAGCAGTTAGGAGCGATGGAGGCGCAAGGCAAACGCATCTGGCTGCACCACGCCGTGACAATGACGTTATAGTGCATCATCCTCTGTATTGCATTGCCGCATGGC